AGGGGTGAGGGTGGAATCAAAGATAATTTTTAGGTTTGGAACTTCAGAGACCAAGATGGTGGTCATACTATAGAGTGCACAGTGCAGAGAGAAAAAGGTTTGAGATAAACATAAGGAGTTTAATTGCTGGTATGTTGACATGGGTGCGCTGATGGAGCATCTAGCACAAAATAACAAGAAGGCAAACGCAGAAATTGGGAAAATACATCTTTTTGTTTACTTCTAGAAATTACTAAAAGAACCTTAATATAATATAACTTTAGCGACTTTATTTTTAGATACTTTTCTCTAGATTTGGAATTGTTGATAATTTCTTTAATTTTGTCCACCAGCATTTCAAGGCATTCTAAACTAAACCTTTAAATTATGATTTTGGAGAATCCTTACATTACAATTTTGGCGGGGATGTTCTCCTAAGAATTTTACCCTTATCTCAATATGTTTTCATCTTTATTTTAACTTAAATAGCAGAGTTTACATTTCCTTGGAACCTGGGCGTTCTGACTATGAAGCAGTGTGTTCATTTCTTATTGCTTCATTGATTAGCAACTCAGAAATCTCCCAAAATGGAAGTCCATTAGGAAAATCTCTCCCTTTTAAAAGAGATGTTCTGAGAATAATCCTATTAGGCTAGAAGCCTGCTAAACTTATCAACTCTAAACACATTTTTCTACAAAGGGGAGGAAAAAAATCCAAATAGAGTGAATGACAAGTAAATGTTGACAGAAAATGTATATTTGACTTCAGGAAATAATAATCACATTCTATTCAAATGTCAGTTTTATGCCAGCAAATAGTTGATGACCTTTTACGATCTAATCTTGACACATTTAGATAAAAAATAAAAAATAAAATCAGTCGACTTTAAATATTAAGATCAATGTGTTCTTTAAAATAGTCATATACTTTTTTAAAAAAAGAGGAAAAGTCATCTTTAATATATTTGCATACATTTAGTAACTCTGATGCTCTTTATGATTTCCTAAAGATTTAGATTTTCATCTGGTTTCCTTTTCCTTCCACCTAAAGAAATCCTTTTAGCGTTTTTGACAGTCCTGGTCTGTAGGTTATGAAATCTTTTATCTGAAAGACAATAGTTTCATCCGAAAGAGAGATTTTTTTCCCCTTATCTAAAAATGTCTTTATTTGACCTTGATTTTTAAAGGATATTTTTGCTGAAGATAAAATTTGACATTGAATTTAAAAAATTGTTTCAGCATTTTAACCGTAGATTGTCCTCTGGCCTCCAGTGTTTCTGGTGAGAAGTCAGTGGTTTGATTCTCGTTCCTTTGTATGCAGAGTGTGCTATTTTCTTTGTCTGCTGTTAAGATTTTCTCTTTTTGGCCGGGTGTGGTGACTTATGCCTGTAATCTCAGCACTTTGGTAGGCCGGGGTCGGCGGACCACTTGAGATCTCTGAGTGCAATGGCGTTCCACTTCATTTTTCCCCCTGCTTTTCTCCCCGTCCAGTGCTCTCAGTTGATTGTTTTTTTGTACCGTGTCCAGAGTTTATAGTTGTTAATTACTGGAGGGTTCGTCTGATAGGAGCTAGTCAATGATACTGAAAGATGAACAGTACTGCCCCTTTCTTCACTCCCCCGGGAAAGGAATGGTTGTTCGCACTAAATCCATCGTCTTGAGCACTGTCACTCTTCCTTTATCTAATGTTCCTCCTTTTTCTTCCCTGTTGCTTTCCTGAAGTGGAGATTGATTTTGTGTAAGTGTAGGGTAAAATATTTGAGCAAATGATAAGAAAGTTTCCATTTCGAGTCTCTGTTCTTTCCAAATTATTAAACTGCAGGGAATTTGCCCATATCCCTAGGCAGCTAACACTACACAAGAGGGAGTGGGTTGAGCATATTATGTATATAGGTATGAAATATAGCTACAGTTTGAATTGCAGAGATTCTTTGAAATCTGCTGCTTCCCCTTCTGCCAGGATGACTAATATTAACTCTTTTATTGGACAACCAAAAGTGATGAGTATAAGAAAATAAATTTATAAAAAATATTAAATTAAATTGGAATATGTAGAGCGTTTTCATTTTTTTTATTTTTAAAATTTCAACTTTTATTATAGATTAAAAGGTACACGTGCAAGTTTGTTACATGGATAAATTGAGTGATGCTGAGGTTCGGGGCTCCAATGGTCCTGTCACACAGACAGTGAGCATAGTTAAATTGTGTTTAGATGAACATGTACTCCAAGCAATTTCTTAGAAAAAGGGACAAGTGGCTGGGCATGATGGTTCACGCCTATAATCTCAGCACTTTGGGAGGCTGAGGCAGGAGGATCACTTGAGGCCAGGAGTTCAAAACCAGCCTGGTCAACATGGTGGAACCCCATCTCTACTAAAAATACAAAAATTAGTTGGACATGGAGGTATGCACCTGTAATCCCAGCTACTTGGGAGGCTGAGGAATGAAAATCACTTGAACCTGGGAGGTGGAGGCTGCAGTGAGCTGAGATGATGCCACTGCACTCCAGCCTGGGCGACAGAGTGAGACTCCGTCTCAAAAAAAAAAAAAAAAAAAAAAAAAAAGAAAAGAAAAGAAAAGGAAAGAAAAAGCGCCATGTGGTTTAATAAATTTGAAAAAACGATTTGGGAAATATAAATATAGATTATTGCTGCACACAAATTACAGATTTACCAAAATTAGGAATACAATACAGTCCTGTTAGCACTGGTAAACTATGCTGAACATGCTTATTCTTTCTTGGATGATTCAGAAGGTACGTTGAGATCCTTTATGCTTTTGTGTCTTGGTTTCTCTTTCTACATTCTCTGCTCAGATATTTTCATCTATTTCCATTATTTCCATGCTTTAAATGGCATCTATAAGCTGATGTCTCCCAAATTTATCTTTTTGATGTAAACCTCTTCCCTGAGTGCAACAGTCTATAGGCAGTTCTACAATTTTTTTTTTTTTTTCTTTTTGAGATGGAGTCTCACTCTGTTGCCCAGGCTGGAGTGCAGTGGTGAGATCTTGGCTCACTGCAACCTCTGCCTCCTGGGTTCAAGCAATTCTTTCTTGTCCTCCCGAGTAGCTGGGATTATAGGCATACACCACCATGCCTGGCTAAGTTTTGTATTTTCAGCAGAGACAGCGTTTTGCTATATTGGCCAGGCTGGTCTCAAACTCCTGACCTCAGGTGATCCACCTGCCTTGGCCTCCCAAAGTGCTGGGGTTACAGGCATGAGTCACCATGTCTGGCCAGGCAGTTCTACTTTTATGTTTCATAGACATTTCAAAAGTAACATTTCAATCCAGAATTTTTAATTCTATCTTTCATCAAATATATACTTACCCAGTCTTTCTCATTGCAATAAGTGGCATAAGCATTTTCTCATGCTGGAAAACATGGCATCAACACTGATTCTCCACTTACATCTAATCTATTAGTGAGTTCTGTTTGCTGTTGCTTCTCTTTCAAAACATATCATGAACTCATCTATCAGTCCAATATATTAATATCCATTATAAAAATGGAGGGAAGATATTTATCACATTGTTTTCTGAGAAATTAGAGTCTCACAAATTATTCTCGTACCTTAAATTTGCTGTTTTATGTTGTTCACTCCTTCATTATTACCTACATGAATGAAGTATAGGGACTGGAAGATGCCCTGTAATAATTTAGATCAGAGGTCAGAAAGCTATGGCCATAGTCAATAACGTTTTATTAGAGCACAGGTAAGCCTATTCTTTTGCGTGTGGTAACAGGTTGTTTTCCTGTTACAACAGTAGAGTTGGTGAGTTGTGACAGGCTATATCATCCACCCTGCCTAAAATACGTACTATTTGATTTTTCATAGACAAGGCCAATTTGCCAATTCTTGATTTGAATAAATGTGATAATGCTTTAAAAATATGAAGCTGTAGTATAAAAATTAAATTAGGGAATGTTTGGGTCATTATCATTTCTGTTTTCTACACCAGATCAGGTTATATTTCTCAGGGGATATCAAGGTGTGAGAATCATGAATGGAAAGTAAGAGATGAGCATCTATTTTCTTTTTTTGTTGTTGTTGGAGTCTTGCTCTGTCACCCAGGCTGGAGTGCAGTGGTACGATCTTGGCTCACTGCAACCTCTGCCTCAAGCGATTCCCCTACCTCAGCCTCCCAAGTAGCTGGGACTACAGGTGCATGCTGTAATAACAGCCAGCTAATTTTTATATTTTTAGTAGAGATGAAGTTTCACCATGTTGACCAGGTTGGTCTCGAGTTCCTGACCTCAGGTGATCTGCCCACCTCAGCTTCCCAAAGTGCTGGGATTACAGGCGTGAGCTACCACGACCAGCTGTCTTTTCCTTTTTTGAAGGAAAGCATTTGACAATATTATTGTAATTTTATTGGATATAAAATATTTAATTTCCTCTAGATGGCCAAACCTCCCAGATTTGAAACCCGAGGAAGGCAGAAGTGAGCTTGGAGGACTAGGATGGAGAGAGGTTACTATCCACCAGCATCTGGGGAGCCCAAGGCTTCCCCCAGGACTTTCCTGAGCCTGTGTATCCCTGGAGACCTTTTGAGTATCTTCTGTACACTTTAACCTCACCCCTAAGTCCTGGGAGAAATGTGGGCCACATTGAGACATGGGACAGGATCAGATATGCTTGACAGAAAGGCTAGGGGTGGCTTTGAGGCCCAGTTAATATTCCAAAGTGGTAACTTTAGCAAAATTGTATTGGTGTTGAGAAAAATAAAAAATTTCAAATATGTGGTGCTGTGGCACAGCCACGCAGCACCACAGCCTGTGGGAACTGAGAAGGCAGGAATTGAGAGGGAGGCTGCTTTCCCAACACCAACAGAGCAGAGGAGGAAGGAGGTGATGGAATATGAGGCTGGGAGAAGAACCTGGTAGCCTTGCCCTGAGATGGCCAGAAAGCCCTTGGCCTCACCTTGGACTGACCAGGCAGCCCTAGTTTAAGTACAAGGTGGTCAGTCTTTCACCCTTCATGGCTGTGGTAATATTTCTTCTTACTCTTTTTCTCCAACTACTGCCAAAATGGCCAAACTTAGGCGAAATGTTGCCCAAGAGACCAAAACAGAGGCAAACAGTTTCCAAATATATGTAGATCATGAGCAGAAATCTGAGGCTTGGAGAAAGGGCTGAGAAGCCATGAGCTCTTTGGGGTGTCAAGGGCAGACTCCCATCCCAAGGACTTCCATGGGGAGGGGAAGGATTGGGTAAGTTTGAGTTTTATGGTCAATATAGCAAATTAATCAAAAGCTTTCACAAAACAAACACCCCAGCCCTGCTGAAGATACAATGGGGCTGAAAAAACACAAACACCAAGCTAAACAATCTGACCAAGGTGAGCTGTTGCAGTACAATCTCATGGGTCCAGTGCTCAGTGGCAAAATGGAGACTCAGGGGCCTCTTGTTTGCTGTTCTGCAGATTTACAAGAACTGGTCAGTAAAGCTGGTTTTTCAATTGGTGCTAGACGCCAGTCACGATCTCCCATGGCCTGTGGCTTGCAGTGCTCTTCAATCCAGCTGAAGACACAGGCCGACAGCTCCTGGAAGTTGGTCATGGAGATGAAGGCATTGAAGGGCCGGAACAGGGAGTCCATGATACTTCGAAATACACTGATCTTGACTTGGTCAGAGGCCTGGTCCTCCCCTCATGGGTGTTGTCCTGGTGTGCCTGTATAATAATTTTTCTAATTATACTTTGGACCACATAAGACAATAGTTGATGGTAGAAAATGTGAGTGACATGGGTCAAAAGATCTATGTACCAGGTTCAAATATGTCTCTCATTAACTTTATGACCTTAATCAAGTTGCTTAAACTCTCTGATCCTCAATTTCTCCATCAGTGAGATTGAGACTAAAAACATCGAATCATTGTTTGTACAAAGAAGCACTGGGTAAGATAGTATGTTTGTGGAATCTTTTTTATTTAATTTATTTAGTTATTTAGGTTTTTTTTTTTTTTTTTTTGGAGACAGTCTTGCTCTATCCCCCTGGAGTGCGGTGGCACGATCTCAGTTCACTGCAACCTCCGCCTCCTGAGTTCAAGAGATTTTCATGCCTCAGCCTCCCCAGTAGCTGGGACTACAGGTGCCTGTCACCACGCCTAGCTAATTTTTGTATTTTTAGTAGAGACAGGATTTCGCCATCTTGGCCAGGCTGGTCTCGAACTCCTGACCTCAAGTGATCTGCCGGCTTTGGCCTCCCACAGTGTTGGGATTACAGTCATGAGCCACTGTGCCCAGTCTGTTTGTAGAATCTTATACAGATTTTGACTCCTAGTATTATTTCTGGGATTACATTGTAATAAAAGGTAGAACTCTAAAATTTGACCAGTGTTACAGGTACGAATGGAGAGCCACAAAATTAAAAACGCAGAGCTTTATCTTACAGGCACATACACATCCACTCCAAATACATTAGGCTATTGTATTAGTATGCTAAAATAATAAAATAATAGGGGGATATTTTTATAAATATTGAAATGAGGAAGACCTTCCCAGGAAAAGCCTCAAACGCAAAAACCATATAGGGAAATATTGACACATTTGAATACATACAATTTTTAAATTTTACAGTCATAAAATATACTATGAACATAGTTAAAAGACTTTGAGAAAACTGGAGAAAATATTTGCAGATGGAGACAGAGAATTAACACCCACGAAATAGAAGGTGATATTAAAAATCAGAGAGAGAAGGAAAATAACCCAATACAAAAAATGAAGAAAGGATCTGAACAGAATCCCATCGCATCAAATGTTTAATAATAATGATCATAAAAAGGTGCTTAATTCACTCACAAATAGAAATGCAAATTAAACTGAATTATCATGTTTCACCCAAACTAGTGAAAACGTAAGCGTTGATAGTATTTAGTATGTGGATGTGGGGAAAAGATCTTTTACTGTGTGGGAATGTAATTTGGTATGGGAACTTGGTAAATTTCCCAAATGGTAAATTGAGGGAACTTTGTCAGTTACTGGTAAAATTTAAAATGTGCATGCTCTCTAAGGAACAATTTTTTTTTTCTTTGAGATAGAGTCTTGCTCTGTTGCCCAGTCTGGAGTGCAGTGGCACGATCTCGGCTCACTGCAAGCTCGGCCTCCTGGGTTCACACCGTTCTCCTGCCACAGACTGCTGAGTAGCTGGGACTACAGGCACCTGCCACCACGCCCGGCTAATTGTTTTGCATTTTTTAGTAGAGACGGGGTTTCATGGGGTTAGCCAGGATGGTCTCGATCTCCTGACCTCGTGATCCTCCCACCTCAGCCTCCAAAAGTGCTGAGATTACAGGCGTGAGCCACCACACCCTGCCTAAGGAACAATTTTACTTTTGGAAATCTTCCCTTCAGAAATACTCACATAAAATAAAAATAGTAATCACTACCTTAATAATAGTTTCCATTTGTTGAACACTTGATGGGAGTCTCTGTACTGCGTACTTTGTGTGTTATCTCATTCAAATCTCATGACAATCTTGAAAGACACTGAGAGGGAGACAGAAGACAAACTAAAGCATAAGTGTTGTGATAAAATAAGTAATTTTTGTGTGTGCATACTTTATTTCTTAAATTGCTGTCAAGAATGCATATTGTTATTAGCCGGGTGTGGTGGCAGGCGCTTGTAATCCCAGTTACTCAGGAGGCTGAGGCAAGAGAATGTCTTGAACCTAGGAGGCGGAGGTTGCAGTGAGCCAAGGTCACGCCCCTGCACTCCAGCCTGGGTGACAGAGCAAGACTCTGTCTCAAAAAAAAAAGGCATCTTTCTTTTGTGATTATGCATATTAATTGTTATATAAGAATATTATGGAAAACCAAATTCATAAACAACAACAGTGTTAAATACCATTCTGATTTTAACAATGGATGGAATATGATGGGAGATACCCAAAGACAAGTTACTATGTTATTGGAAAGAGAAGAGGAAATATTTTGAACAACCTGAGACAATTTATACCAATTGCTAAATCATCTGGCGTAGATAGCTTGTTGCCATATGAATCCAGAGTCGGGAGCCTAGTACATACTTGTTTCTGTGACAGGCAGTCTCTGATTCTTGCTGCCCTGAATTTCTCTAGTTGGTATATCTGATGCTTCCCGTATTGTCTCATTTCACTACTGTAGCCATCCATGCGTCTGCTTGAGCAGCTGACGCCTCCATTTCTTCTGGTTTAAATTTAAGTCTGTATTGTTCCTTTCCAATTAAGATCACCACCTAGAGTAACTGCTGACTACAGGCAGATTAGAGAAAAAAGTGGTGCTTTTAACTGCAAGGTTTTCTGACCCCATTTCTAGAAATACACTTCATCAATAAGTAGAACTTTCCTTTATAGTCTATAAATGGCAGTACAACATACTGGTTCAGAGGACAGACTCTGAACTACACTTGAAATACTGACAGCGCCACTTACCAGCTGTGTGATATCGGCAATTTACTTAACCTCTGAGTTTTAATCTCTTCATTCTTAATAGGGAGATAATAATAATGGTATCCTTGGGTGGGGTGTGGTAGCTCACACCTGTAATCCCAGCGCTTTGGGAAGTGGAGGGGGGAGGATCACCTGAGGTCGGGAGTTCGAGACCAGCCTGGCCGACATGGTGAAACCCTGTCTCCACTAATAATACAAAAATTAGCCTGGCATGGTGGTGCGCACCTGTAACCCTAGTTACTTGGGAGGCTGAGGCAGGAGAATTGCTTGAACCTGGGAGGTGGAGGTTGCAGTGAGCCGAGATGGTGCCACTGCACTCCAGCCTGGGTGAGAGAGTGAGACCCTGTCTCAAAATAAATAAATAAACAAACAGACAAATAAATAAATAAATAAATAATGGTACTCTTATGTGGTTGAAGATTGAGTCAATATATATAAGGCACCTTTAAAGTCAATATATCTGGTACATGGTAAATGTTCCATAAGTACTTGCTACTAGAAATAGGCACCTTTATTAACTATTTATACCTCTTTCGTTTTTTCTTTTCTTTTTTTTTTTTGAGACAGAGTCTTGCTATGTCGCCCAGGCTGGAGTGCAGTGGCGCCATCTCAGCTCACTGCAACCTCTGCCTCCTGGATTCAAGCGATTCTCCTGCCTCAGCCTCCCAAGTAGCTGGGACTACAGGCGCCCACCATCACATCTGACTAATTTCTGTATTTTTAGTATAGATGAGGTTTTGCCATGTTGGCCAGGTTGGTCTTGATCTCAGGTGATCCACCCACCTTGGCCCCTCAAAGTGCCGGAATTACAGGTGTAAGCCACCGCGCCCGGCCAATATTTCTACCTTTTGGGGTTGCTTCCTCATCATGGAATTAATACTTGCTTGTGGAGGCTGTTTCCTCTTTATAAACAGTACCCTCACTTGTAGCTCCATTCTGAAAAATTCTGACAGATAATTCAGCAGACTAAATGATGAAATCACCCTGGCACACTCCCCTCAGCTGGGCACTGTGGGGCAGCTGACATTGGGCACTGATATTCCTGGCTTCAGTCATACCCGCCCTGTGCAGCTACAGCTTCGTGCATGCACCAGTTGCACTAACTTGGGATGAAAATCGAGTTAAACTCAGTAGAAGATTTCATCCTATGTTTTGGTGGTAAAAGAAGCAAATGAACAAATGAACGGAAGCTGCTAAACAGTTGTCTCACCAACTATTCCGACTAGCTAACAAGATTAACTAGGTCATACCTAGTTGTCAAAGAATACCATAAGAACTCAGAAATTTGACTATTTCTATTACTTGCTTGTCATGTAGATAAACAGATGAAAAGAGCCATAAAAAGACAAAGAGAAAATAATAGTAGGATTAGAGAACATGTTATGATCTCATGGGCTAACTGGGCTTTGGAAAGAGGTGTTTATCTGTCATGAATATGAATCCAAGGGTGTGGATGGGTATAAGAGAACCAAATGTAACAGAAATTTAATATCTTTTTTTCCTCGGAGATGAAACATTTTACATTTCCCATTTTATTAGATAAAATTACTAAACATGTTCTAGACCCTGGAGTTGTAGATTTTATGATGTTGGCTGCTGTGGAGTGGCCATGATTGGTTTTTCAAATTGTTAATTTGATTTCTTTTTAATACCCATGGATTTACGTGACCCACGGCAAAAGACTGTAGATTATTTCATTGAATTTATGAGTTTTCTGTAATTTTAACAAGTTCCATTGTCAATGCAGATGTTTACTCAAAAGAAGAAGAAGAATAAAATCTACAACCAAGAAAATCTCTTTGCTTTTGAGAATGAATTTCACTATAAGTTTGAATTCAAAGTCATGGAGTTGAGAAATGTATTTTATGTTGGAAAATAGAGAACTTAATAATAGAAATAGCATTCACTAACTTCACTTCTCAATTTTCAACAAACAATGTCAGATTGGCTGAGTGTGATGCTAAAGCTCAAACAGCTAAATACACCATCTTATGACTCATTTCCTTTAGTTAGTCATTGAGTCACAACACATCTTTGTTCATTCAGTTCTATGCAAAAGGTCTCAATAAACTTCAAAGTACCTTATGTTCTTTGCAACTAGGTAGGGAGGTATATAATGACATTCCCATTTTCTTTTCTTTCTTTCTTTTTTTTTTTTTTTTGAGACAGAGTCTTGCTCTGTCTCCAGGCTGGGGTGCAGTGGCCTGATCTCGGCTCACTGCAACCTCTGCCTCCCGGGTTCAGGTGATTCTCCTGCCTCAGCCTCCCGAGTAGCTGGGATTATAGGCATGTGCCATCATGCTCAGCTAATTTTTGTATTTTTAGTAGAGACGGGGTTTCACGATGTTGGCCAGGATGGTCTTGATCTCTTCACCTTGTGATCCACCTGCCTCGGGCTCCCAAAGTGTTGGGATTACAGGCGTGAGCCACCGTGCCCGGCCCCCATTTTCTTTTAAATATATATTAAGTAACTTTGATGGGTAGCCCATAAAATACCATTAAACGTTGATGAGATAGTTTGGGTGGTACAACTTCTCTTTCTTCTCACTTTCCTTTCTTATAAACTCTTTCTCCTTCAAACTCTTTCTAGCCTTCACATTGACTTTTCTGCCTCCAATATAACCCAAGTAAACAAATCTTCTTGGTTGGAACCAGTTTTGCCTATGCCTGAGATCAAGTTTTAAAACAGGGTCAAAAATATACTGCCTCTCAATGGTTACTTTCCTTTCGCTACCTGACACTTACTTCACCTGCTTCCCGAATTCAGTTTTCAAATCAAAATAGTAATTTTCTCCTCTGTGCTTATGCTTGTTTGTCATGAGCAAAAACTGCCCCTTCATCAGAACGAATGCCATTTGGTGGTAAGAAATAACCTCTGGGAAAGGATAAGACTCTGGGCCAAAATAACTTCAGCCTTGGCTTGTTCCAAGAGTCTACACAAAGTCATTTTGGAGAATACATCCCAGAGTTTCTCCTTCTTTAGGACAGGGATGACATTATTTTGTGAACCTGTAAAATCCTTGAATGACAATCAGAGGCGTAGCCAGGGGAAGATGAGGATACACAGTTGTTCTCCTTAGCACATTCTGCAAATGTGGATTCTTTTTCAACAACACATTTCTGAAGAGTAACATGTGAATAGGTAAGGCCATGCTGAGAACATGTTAGAAAAAGCAAGACTGTGAGATGGAGAGAAGGTAGTTATGGGGGTGAGGAGATATACTTATGTTGTCCTACCAACCAAGGACAGAGATCCCTTGCCCCTAGCCCAGCCTAGCCCCAAGAATGGCTCCCCCTGAAGTTAGAATCTAATTGTGCTTAAAATGACAACGTGGGTGCACAAGGCCATAGATGATCTACCGCTCGTATCAGACCAGTGGAAATCTCTGCTCCCAAGTGCAGGTGGTGAATCACCTCTGGAAGCTGCTATATCAAAAAGAATGACCCTCCGGGCCCCAGACCCAAGTGGATGCTCTGCCTTGTTCTTTGTTGGACAACTCTCATCCTCTTCCTGTGACTATTTTCTTTGCCTTTGTAAAATGCATTTTTGCGTGTGTGCTGGATAAAACCAGTCTCCCAGCTCCTCCAGAATGATTCCTATATTGATGAGAAAGTGGTTTGTTATTTCTAAACCCCAGAGGTCAGATCATAGTGTTCTCGAGACTGAGTCATAAAATCAAAGTTAAATGCGTTACCTGTTCCTTAATGAAAAGCATGGATATGAGACCTCCCAGTAGTTCATATGATTCATGAGAAATAAATGAAAAGAACAACCTTATGGAATATTATCAGTTCAAATGATCTTTCCTTCTCCTGGTAATTACAAGGCCTCAATCTCATTAAGGCCAACATATTCAATGAAGGAAGATCAGTTTCTATGGAGAGTCATTTCATTTAAACAGATGAGCGAATAATCGGTACTAACGACAAACATTTTTTAGCTATGGAAATTATACTTTTCATTTAGTAGTTTTTTTCCAATGTGCTATACTCTCCAAAGGATTCAGTGTCTCAAAGTGCTCGTGAGGTTAGCAGCCATGTGGATAATCACCCTTGTTCTAGAGAGCAGGAGCCTGAGAAAAAGAAATGTTGGAAAATATCGAGGGATGACATACATGGGATGGAAAATGATAAAATATTAAGTCTGTGGCTTTATAATTAAAATTCACTGAATTCTTTCAGAGCCTTTAATAATAACATGTTCTCTCCATTTGACACGTTGCCATTACCTCGTGATGGTGTTCACCAATAATTTCATCTTGCATCTGGAGATCCTAAGAGTAGTTCTAAAAGGTAAAGGAGTTTCATTAATAATTAAATTTCATAATAAGAAACAGACTAAGATATTTCTTTCTTTCTCTCTTGGAAACAGATGAGCTTACAATGCTAAGTAAAATGTGGTCTAAAGATACAATCAGAACTACTATGCATAATTATGGCATCTATATATTTGTCAAGTTCTGAAAATGTTTCAATGAGTCTGAAAAGTTTCAGTCTCTTTAAGAAGTATTTGTTCACTGTAAAAATTCAGTTTGACTGCTAGCCAGGGTCATTTATCAGAAGTAATTTGTGAATAAAATAATATGATTTGATATAGAAACACTAGGAGACTAGGCCAGGCTTGCCTGGTGCTAAAGTGTTTATGTGAGACAGAAAGATTCTAGGGTAACCAAGGATGTAATCCACATTTTCTGTCAAGTTGAAAGTTCTTTCTGATTAGGTGAAACAAAATCTCAGTGAACTCAGAGGGCTGAGTACTACTTTAGTCATGGTTTGAATGACTTTAAGTGGAGAGGAGAGGAGAGGACAAGATTTCCTTGTTTAATTGAGAGTTGCTGTTGACAATGGAGAGTCGTTTTTCCAGCTGTCCTCTACTGCCTGGGGTTATCAGCCTTGGCTGCTCATCAGTCATCTGGGAAGCTTTTAAAAACAGATGTCTGAGTCTCACCTAGATCTATTGAATCAGAATTTCTGGCATCTGTAATTTGGAAAGCTCCAGTGGTTATTAGGAAGGGTAGCCTGACTTGAGAACGGATGTGCTAGGTCTGTGGATGAGCGTGGGCAGCGGCCTACTGGTCTCTCCCTTAACCTTCATTCCTAGGACATCTGAGTCTGTGTTCTGAAACATTGGATTTTCTCTGTGAACAGTTAAAAATCCTTCATGTTAAGGGTCCACAGCTTTCCCACTCCCCTGTTCTCTGCTTAGCTTCTTCCTGCTTTGTTCTCTGTCTTAGAAGAGAAGGGGGAGGGTGCATTCTCTCTGGAGGGAAGGGAGAGCACTGGGGAGAGGAAAGAAGGACTGGAGGAACCTAGATGGTGGAGCAGAAGGACCTGGGTGAGACAGTTCTTTCTGGGATGCGAGTCCGGGGGCTGCAGAATGTGGGATGTGGAATGAAAGCCTTCCAAGATTAGACAGAGTGAAGTGGAGGTGGAGGTAGAGACTTGGGTACAACAGTTCATGCATTAGGTTTTGTAGACTAATCCTTGGACAATATTAAATGTTTGACAAGGAAGACAAATGGAGACTTCAGAGTCATGCTTCTTTAAATGTGGTTTCTCTCTGGAATGGGTAATGAGGAGGATGCTTTATCAGTTAGAAATGCTGAAAGCATGTGTGGGCTTCTTAACGATATCAGAGATCCAGGTTTTTCCACTCTTTTACTCCATCAGCCTTAGAGTGCTGTCCTTTTGTCTCTATCCTTGCCCTTACATGGTCAGAAGAAGGCATCACAGCCAGTTTCAAGGCAGGAAGAAGAGGAAAATGGTAGCCAGGAACATGGAGCTTGCAAAGTCCTTTTATGAAGAAACAAGAGATTCTCAATCCTATTAGCAGACCACTCCTTTGAAGACTGGCCAGATTGGGTCCTGTTGCCCTTACCAGCTGTGAGGGAGCCTGCAAAAGGGAGTGTTGAGCTTTTCCAGCAGCTATAGTGGAAGGAAAGAAAGAAGGAAGGAAAGAAGGAAGGGGAGTAGGGCTAGAATTGCCTGTTGGGTAAGCTAACCAACAGTGCGTGCTATCAAGGGCTGGGCTGGGATGTCACAGCTTCACGACCTTGCCCTGGAGTGACAGAAAGTGAGCCCCATCAAAAGAACTGTGGAAACTGCTGTTTCAGAACAGTGATTTTTGGGCCAAGCATGATGGCTCATGCTTATAGTCTCAGCACTTTGGGAAGCCGAGGCAGGAGGATCACTTGAGGCCAGGAGTTCGAGATGAGCCTGGCCAACATGGCAAAAACCTCTCTCTACTAAAAATATAAAAATTAGCCCAACTTGTGGCACACACCTGTAATCCCAGCTACTTGGGAGACTGAGGCACAAGAATTGCTTGAACCTGGGAGGTAGAGGTTGCAGCGAGCTATGATCATGCCACTGCACTCCAGTCTGGGTGACAGAGAGTCTCCCCCTCCAAAAAATAAAAATAAAAACAAAAACGAAAAACCAAACAGAACAGTGATTTTTAAGTTTTCAGAATCACTTGGAATGTGTGGAAAGATGTCTGGACCTCCATCCCACAGAGTTTGATTTAGTAGGTTTGGAATAACACCTAGAGGTTTACATTGATTGATTGATTGTTAGAGACAGGGTCTTGCTCTGTTGCCCAGGCTGGAGTGCAGTTGAGTGATCACAGCTCACTGCAGCCTCAAACTCCTGGGCACAAGCAATCCTCCCATCTCAGCCTTCCAAGTAGCTGAAACTATAGGCACATGCCACCATACCTGGCTAATTTTTTGTAGAGATGGGGTTCTCACTATGCTGCCTGGGCTGGTTGCAAACTCCTGGGCTCAAGTGATTCTCCCGTTTCTGCCTTTGCCTCCCAAAGGGCTGGGATTACAGGTGTGAGCCACCATGGCCAGGCATTTTACCCTTTTAATAATGCTCTTAGATGATTCTGATGCAGCAGGTCTGTGGCCCACACATTCATAAGCACTGGGAACACATTAGTTCAGTGGTTCTCAAACTTGCTGAATATTAGAATCACCAGGAGGTTTTAAAAATATCAATGGGCCCTTTTCCCAACTAATTAAATTAGAAAATCTGAGGTTGAGAGGTCATCATCATTTAAGGCCTGCCAAGGTGATTCTAATGTGCAGTCAGGGATGAAAATAATTGACGGACAGATTCTATTGACTAACAAGCTTCTTGCACAAACAGAGAAGCCAGGGACAGCTGGGGTAGCAGGAAGAAGGCACCAAATTCTCCACGTTGGCTGTTGGACATCTTTGAGAAGAGTGGATGGAGAGGAGAGAGTTGAACACACTGGCAAGCTTGGATAAGGTACATAGCAACTGATGTGCAAGAAATAAATGGCGAAAGGTGAGGCATCTCAAAGTGGCTCAGTCTTTCGTATCTTTAAATACTAATTTTTTGCTGGGCGCAGTGGCTCACGCCTGTACTCCTAACACTTTGGGAGGCCAAGGAGGGTGGATCACCTGAGGTCAGGAGTTTGAGACCAGCCTGGCCAACATGGTGAAACTCTGTCTACTAAAATTACGAAAAATTAGCCAGGCGTGGTGGCTGGCGCCTGTAATCCCAGCTACTCGGGAGGCTGAGGCAGGAGAATAGCTTGAACCCGAGGGGTGGATGTTGCAGTGAGATGAGATTGCACCATTTCACTCCAACCTGGGCAAGAGAGCAAAATTCTGTCTCAAAAAAAAAAAAAAAAAAAAAAAAAAAAAAAAAAAAAAATCCAAAACCTATCTTTTTACTTATTAAAATATTTTTTTCTTTTCATTACAAAGTAATTTCAAACTTACAGAAAAGTTGCAAGAATAGTAAAAAGAACCCATGTACCCTTTACCTAGATCGTCAATACTAAATATTTTACATCAACTTTATCACGTCTCTCATCCCCTTCTACGTATGTTTTTCATATACATATTTTTCTTCTGAACCATGAACCGTCTGAGAGTAGATGGCATATATCAGACCCTCTTTCCTCCTATGTCTTCAGCTTGTATTTAGCTGAACTCTAGTCCACCTTCCGGTTTTGCTGTCTCTATACACTCGGTACCAATGTGCTTTCTCTGGCACAGCTTCTGTCCAGGACCATGTATTGCATTTAGTCACCCTGTGTTTGTAGTTACTTCCCTTTAATAAGGAACAGTGCCTAAGCCTTTCTTTATCAAGACATTCACATTTTTTTAAAAAAGAATAAGGGCCATTTATTTTATAGAATGTCGATCACTTTACATGCATGTGATGTTTCCTCCTAATTTGCTTCATGTCATGCATTTTGGGCAGGAATGCTGTGTGAGAGCTGGTATATTATTCTCGGGTATCACAATAGGAGATGTACCAAGTCTATCTACCCCTTGGGGAAACACAAAGGATACGTTTCCTTGCAAGGAACCATTCTGCCTGCTCTTAGGTCAACGTTTTCTTGCATTTTGATTACTTGGTTAAGGTGTTGTCCAGCTTCTTTCCTGTATAGATTTTTCATTGTAACATATGTTTTCTTTTGTTTTTAGTTAACACATAGTAATTGTGACTGGGGTACAGTGTGATGTTTCCATACATATACAGATGGTGTTGATAGACATGCCAATTATCCTGATTTCAATAATAGTTTTGAAGCCGGGTGAGGTGGCTCACACCTGTAATCGCATTTTGGGAGGCCGAGGCGGGAGGATCATTTGAGGTTAGGAGTTCGAAACCAGCCTGGCCAACACGGTGAAACCCTGTTTCTACTAAAAATGCAAAAAAAAAAAAAAAAAAATGAGCCAGGTGTGATGGTGTGCGCCTGTAATCCCAAGCTACTTGGGAGGCTGAGGCACGAGAATTGCTTAAATCCAGGAGGCGGAGGTTGCAGTGAACCAAGATTACGCCACTACACTCTAGCCTGGGTGACAGAGTGAGACTCTGCTTAAATGATAATAATAATAATAATTTTTAAAAATCACTTATCATTTGAAAAATTCTAGTTTTAACAGGCATTTAAATACGGCTCTCAAGGTATTATACCCTGTGCTGTTATTTGTTCATAGAGCACACATTTGTTAATACTTATGTATATGTTGTGATTAGTGCTTACTTTGCTCAGAAATACTGAAATATCCTTAAAAGTGAGAGTCTCTGGAATCCTCTGCAGTTCCCATCTCTAGAGAGAAACTTCCCAGTTGGCTGTGATGCCCCCTAGTGTAGACTGGATTATGCTGCACAACACTGGCTTCTAGGGATGTGAAGAGCCTCTCGCCTTCAGGGGCAGGTTTAGCAGATTAAAGAGGACAATGTTAAATTCTCAACCGTAAATCTAGTGTCCTTCTGCTGGCAGATCGAGAATTTAAAA